CACACATACAGACGCACACATAGACACACACACAGACACACACACAGAAGGGAGCTGGACACCGAAGTTTAAATGGTAGGAGGACATGAAATAAGTGCATGTAATATCGAAACATCGAACCACTTGACGGAAGTTGGTTGACGGCCCATGCTCCAATTGGGCATATAAAACAGAAGAGAGAATTTTTTGTTTGTATTATATATTGAAATTCGTCAGGAATTGAACAGGGTGGGTGGGGCAAAAAAAAAAAAAAAAGGGGGGGCGGGGCGGGGAGTGGAGTGCTGATTCATAAAGAGTATACATTTTTGGAAAGTCTCAGGCATAGTTTACTCCATATTAGTTTTTAGCAGGGCGTTTTCACCTAGCAGTAAGCAGTGCTGGTACCTTTTTTAAGCATTATTTGCCAGTGTCAATGCTGACATATGGGTGTCAGTCATGGACAATGACAACAGCTCACAGGAGCCAGCTTCAGGCCTCAGAAATAAGGTTATCTGTGAAAGGTGGTCCTGTGACAAGAAGAGACAAAATGTGGCAGTCAGACAATGCGTCATGATCTTGAAGTTCAGGCTTTAGAGACACGGGTGGGTCAGTCACAGATACGGTGGTTTGGACATGTATGTAGAGTGGCAGAGAATCATACACCACGACAGGCATGGGAGGCTAAGAACCTAGAAATCAGACCACCAGGACAATCCAGGGTTTGCTGGGAAGACAACATCTGACAGTCCCTTACTGACAGAGCACTGGAATGGAACAAAGAACATTTTCTATGACCAAGTCAGCCGAGTCTACACCTATTCAGGAGTTTATGTTTTTGTTTAAATGGCGTTCACTATTCTGCGATGTAAAAAAAAAAAAAAGGTTTGAGAATATCAATTCTGATTGGATGATGTTTTTTTAAAGGCGCCCTCATAAGTTGCATATACATGTGTTTGCCTGGATACTACAGGGAATCATTTTTGTGTGCAGGTAGGGCTATGGATTGTATAATTATGGAGTTATGGAAGGTTGTTAAGTATGATAGTATGTCTGCTATCATCATTATCATCCCGCTCACACTGGAGTCCGCCATTCTCTACTATCCTGTATGGACGCCAGGCGCGGTTACTGTTTCGCGTCGAGGCAAATTTTTTGCTTCTGCCAGACTGTGGCCGTTGCATTTTGGATCCATTTGTAGACTGAAAGGATACAGTTTTGTCGCGTCAGCTACTAAGTTGAGTGCATGGCGCGACCCTGTGAGCTGCGGATTTCATTTGGAATGTTTTTCGACTGTGACTAAGGTGGTGTTGTGAACTGTAGATTCAGAAAATGGTGCGTGGCCTGTCGCGCAATATTCGTGGTGCCATTATGTGATTAATATTGATCGCGTGCGCAACTGCTGATCTGTTTGGCGACTTCTGCTACCGTCGATGATGAAATGCATTTCTAATGTCAAACTGTTTGTGTTAGCACTTCTGATAGCTACCGTATGCTTTAAATGCGTGTGTATGCTAGTGCATGTGCTGGGACAGCAGTCTTTCAAATCCACAAGGGACTGCGACGAACATTCTGTGTGTTTTTCGTTGGCGCAGGAGCGGAGCAACTATGGGGTGACTCGTTTGCGATGAAGCTGAAACTAAGATTACCAAGATTACCAAGATATCCTGTATAATCCTGTCGATGCCATGTAAGGAATCCAATCCGGCATCTTTGGCCTTTCTCGACAGCCTTCGCCATAGAGTTTCTCTTGGACATCCTCGTGTCCTCGGTTCATTTCTTTCCCATTTTACATTACATGTTTGGTGATTCTCTCTCTGCTTCTTCTCGGGATGCGCCCACTTTCTTGTCATCTTCTTCTTGTTTCTGCCAACACTGTTGATACCAGGGCTTGTCCGGTCATTTCTGTTATTTCTTCACCTTTCTTGAACTCGTTGCATTTAATGTTGATCAATATCTTGAGGCACTTGTAGTCTGTCCTATATGTGATATGTATTCAGGAGTGCTCTTCACGGAAGTTAGCTACAAGAGATATGCGTATCCACTGGTGTTTTTGGGGGTGTTACGTCTGGGACCAATCGCTAGGTTTTGTTGTGTTTGATATAGCGTGGTAGGCTAGGTTTTGTCGTCTTTGATATAGCGTTGAAGGCTAGGTTTTGTTGTGTGTGGTATAGCGTGGTAGGCTAGGTTTTGTTGTGTGTGGTATAGCGTGGTAGGCTAGGTTTTGTTGTTTTTGATATAGCGTGGTAGGTTGGGTTCTGTTGTGTGTGATATAACGTGGTAGGCTGGGTTTTGTTGTTTTTGATATAGCGTGGTAGGTTGGGTTCTGTTGTGTGTGATATAACGTGGTAGGCTAGGTTTTGTTGTTTTTGATATAGCGTGGTAGGTTGGGTTCTGTTGTGTGTGATATAACGTGGTAGGCTGGGTTTTGTCGTGTTTGGTATAGCGTGGTAGGCTAGGTTTTGTCATGTTTGGTATAGCGTGGTAGGCTAGGTTTTGTCGTCTTTGATATAGCGTGGTAGGCTAGGTTTTGTCGTCTTTGAAATAGCGTGGTAGGTTGGGTTTTGTCATGTTTGATATAACGTGGTAGGCTGGGTTTTATCATGTTTCATTGTCGTGGCAGTCTGGGGTTTGCAACAGCGACAGCAGCAGCAACAGCAGTAGTAGTAGTAGTAGTAGTAATGTGCTGAATGGCAAATAAATATTATAATATATTTGAAACATTAAAAAAAATGTTTAAAAAAGTACATGAAAAGATAAATATTTAGGACTAGAGGGGTTTGTTTGCTTTTCTTACAAATGATATACAAGTGGAAATGAGAGAGAGAGAGAGAGAGAGAGAGAGAGAGAGAGAGAGAGTGGGCGGGGCAAAAAAAAGGGGTTGGGGGGGGAGGGGGGGGGGGGGGGGGTAAAAGCTCGCAGGTTCACCCGTCCTTGACTGGTACTGAAATGGGATGACTTGGCAGCCAAGCAGTTTTTGTTTTTTAAAGATAAATTCGCTTTAGCTGCTCCTTCTCGTTAGTACATAATGTAAATTGCTTTTGTTTACATAAGATTTCATTTAGTGAATAAAATACTTTGGGCATAGAAATTGTGGCACGTATTTGCTTGCCATGAAGTGAACGTTAGTGCATAGCTTGCAGTTTCTGGTAAATAAAATAGGAAGATAAACGAGTAATTAAAAAAAAATAATTATATATTTAAAAAAAAAAAAAAAAAAAAAAAAAAAAAAAAACCCACACACTTCTGAAATAAATGCAGAAAAATTATTATTTAAAAAAAAAAAAAAAAAAAAACAAATATGCACAGAACAAAAAAAACTAAAAAATAAATAAATTTCCTCTTAAAAGATTAGAAGACACGTCAACACTTCAAAACCTTGTGTCTGTATAACATGTAAGCTCTTTCTGCAACAACTGGTTGGGCGGGCGGGAGTGTTAGCCTTGAGATTTCTAAGCATTCTAATGGATTTGAGGAGACAGTTTCACTGTCGCGCTTCGCGATTGCAATTGTAAGTTTGACGACAAGGGGTGCTCTTTTGTGTGGGTGATTTTCCCTACTTATGTTGCGTCACACATGGCCTTCAAGGGGTGTTCACTTTTTTTAGGACATCTCACTTAGGGTGTTTTGTTTAAAGTCTATACATTTTTGGTTTCTTGGTTCAGGTACAATAAACCTTTTTTCTCTGTAAATATGTCCATAGACAACTAACAAATGTTCTTTCAGTGTCTGTGCGCTCGCCTAGGTGTGTATGTGTGCTCGCCTAGGTGTGTATGTGTGCTCGCCTAGGTGTGTATGTGTGCTCGCCTAGGTGTGTATGTGTGCTCGCCTAGGTGTGTACGTGTGCTCGCCTAGGTGTGTATGTGTGCTCGCCTAGGTGTGTATGTGTGCTCGCCTAGGTGTGTATGTGTGCTCGCCTAGGTGTGTATGTGTGCTCGCCTAGGTGTGTATGTGTGCTCACGTGTGTGTGTGTATCTGTCTCCCTATTTCCTTTCTTCATTATTTCAGCATCAGCAGGTTTTGAAAGCTAGAAAAAGACCAGCAACTCTTAAGTAAATAGTTTTAGAAGCAAGTTACGTATTTTCTGTTGTAACGTTATTTCACATTTAACATATGCAAGTAAAAGCTGAAGGGAAACGATGAACATAAAATAGGATGGAATCAAGATGAGCTGAGAAATAAGAGAAAGGCTGAGTAACCACTGCTGTCACTAGCTACAAGTAAGAGGAGGCGGCGCCATATTGAATAGATTCTGAGAAGAGGCGAAGATGATCACCAATTGGCACATTTTGTTGTTGCCCCCCCCCCCCCCCCCAAAAATCGACCACATTCAACCTCCGGCGCGCAGTATCAGTTATAAATGTAGTCTGGTTTCTTTGTGCCTAAATGGGAAATAGAAGGTCCTAGGAAGAAAGGACCTCCAAGAGAAACCCTAAGACGAATGTTGATGAGGGAAGCTAAAGGTGCTGGAATGGATCCTATATGATATCGAAGTGATTGCACCGGATCAAACGGAATGGAGAAATAGACTGAGATTCCTACGTGGCATAACATTGCACAAAAGAACAAAGAAGAAATAAATAAAAAGTAAAGGACCATTTTCCTTAGGTAACAATGGGCATTTAGGCCTAGACCTATATATGTTTTAGACCAACCGGCACTGAGTGGCTGATGTGTCAACATTGCAAAGGCCGCGTTACCTTCCAAAGTCTTTACCTAGTACCCATTTAAGGCTGGGTCGACCTGGGAGCCAAGGTTATTTAAAAAAAAAAAAAAACCAACCTGGCTCCTTCAGAACCTGACCCCACGACATTCGGATTGGCAGGTGATTATCTAGCCTGCACACCACGGCGGGTCCTAAATAAAAGAATGAACTTGGTAACTGTTTTTTTCATCAAAACACACAGACAAGTAATTCAACGCTCCCGTGGACTCTCAAGCAGCACATATAATGTGATGTCAATGTTTCTCCCAGGCTGTTTCCTCTACAACCAGCGCCCAGGCCGTCTATTGAAAACTGCAACATGAACGTCAGCAACTTGTCAGACTCCACCCTCGACCCATGCTCCGACCCACTGGCGCCATTGTCGGCGACATTTTTTAAGAGTAAGTATCTTCTCTTAATCACACAAGTGCTGTCTCCGTAATGATCGTTGGCTGCAAGGAAACAGCCTCCTGGGATAACAGACAAAGAGTTAGTGGAGGAGAAGAAGGCTGAGGAGGAGGAGAAGAAGACGAAGAAGAAGAAGAATATAATGATGATGACGATGATGCAGAAGAATTATAAACAGATCCCAACACTACGAAGAATGAAACCAGAAAGGCACGGTGACCCGAAGCGCCATTAAATGCACACAAATTCATAAATAAACAATTCTTAACGCTTCTGTGAATACAGTCTGTGTTTGCTGACTGTATTCATACCCGGTTGAACCTCTCAAGAACCCCTCTCCACCCCGACCCCATTAATGTACGTTACAATGTTTCCTTTGCACAAATCACCATGAAATATGCTTTCACAGAAGCAACACCTGTGACCTTTGAATTTGAAACATTTCAACACGATGAACACCGTAACACGGTTCAAGTTCTACTGCCGCGTGCAACCCTTCTCTATTAACTCTGTACCCTTACTCCGCACAACATCTACACCCGTATAACACTTACTCCGCACAACATCTACACCGGTATAACACTTACTCCGCACAACATCTACACCCGTATAATACTTACTCCGCACAACATCTACACCCGTATAACACTTACTCCGCACAACATCTACACCCGTATAATACTTACTCCGCGCAACATCTACACCCGTATAACACTTACTCCGTACAACGCTCATTGCGTCCAACACCCACCCCTACAACAATTAATGTATACAATACTCAGTCCATACAGCACTTACTCGACACAACAGTGTCTCTATGCAACACTCACTCTGTTGAACACTTATTCTTTAAAACAACTGCTCTGTACAACACTTACTATATACAATACTTACTCCATGCAACAATTGTTCTATAATACACTCTCTCTACACAGTACCTCATACAACAATAGCTATATACAATACTAACTGTATACAACATTTACTTCATACAACAATTGTTCTACACTACAATCACTCTATACACCCTATACAACACTTGCTCTATACAGCACTCACTATATAAAACATGTACTATATAGATCATTCAGTGGCTTACCTAGGGTATGGCAGCGGCGTATCTAAAGAAAATTAGAAGGGCGACACCCTACACAAATATCATCACTTATCCTTGATCACCACCGCTTACAAAAAAAAAAAAAAAGTGCGTTCCCTAGTGTGGCCAGACAACATCTTCATGTATGTAACACTACCCACTACATGGTTCTGAATTCTTTCGAACCCTGGCTACACATCATACGTTCCTAAGTAATTAATTAAAGTTGCAGGTAACGCTTTCATGTTTTTAAGTTACCACTCGTAGTCATCAGAATACTACTGGTACCATCTTCTTTGGCTGCTGCAGATGGGGACGGAGCACGTATGGTAATGTCCTGAGTGCTGTGATATTGGCTCTTGAAACTCAACCCATGTCGGTCGAAAGCAATGGATTTGATGTATGTGTACTTACTTAAATACTGCTAAATCAGCCACGTTATACATTCAAGTCTTTCTTGGTCTGGCTCATCTACTCTAATCCTCTGCTGAGCACACTGATCATATATAGCGCTGTGTTTGTGTCTCTTTATCAGATATTTCTGCTTCCGAGAAGGGACTGATCGCCATCTGTGGAGTCTGTGTGTTGTTGACAGTCATCGTTTACCTGGAACACATCCATTATGTACTGAACCGATACCAGACTAACATGACAGTGAAGTGTAGGACCTTGGAGATACTTGCTCTATACCCGGTGAGTCGTTTGTCTGATTTTCTAGTTATAGAGACGGGAAGATCTATCTATCTATCTATCTATCTAATCTATCTATCTATCTATCTATCTATCTATCTATCTATCTATCTATCTATCTATCTATCTATCTATCTATCTATCTATCTATCTATCTATCTATCTATCTATCTATCTATCTATCTATCTATCTATCTATCTATCTATCTATCTATCTATCTATCTATCTATCTATCTATCTATCTATCTATCTATCTATCTATCTATCTATCTATCTATCTATCTATCTATCTCTATCTATCTATCTATCTATCTATCTATCTATCTATCTATCTATCTATCTATCTATCTATCTATCTATCTATCTATCTATCTATCTATCTATCTATCTATCTATCTATCTATCTATCTATCTATCTATCTATCTATCTATCTATCTATCTATCTATCTATCTATCTATCTTGCTTGTCTGTCTCTGTGTGCGGACGTGTTTTAGCGAGCTCTTCATTTTTTATTATTTTATGAAACCAGTGCGTGTAAACAACATGGATTTTCGTATTACTGTGATGGCTGTGTTACTGCACAGATAGTGAATTTGTTTAAAAGTATTTTCATGTGCGTATTTTCATGGAAATTCTACTTGATTTAAACAATAATTTAACAATGGAAACAAATGTAATTCTCTGGGCCAATCGGGTGCTACGGATGAATCAATCCAACCAATCACTGGTTAGTTGTGAAAAATGTCTTGTGACCCAGATGTGCTTGGGACTGTTTGCTGCGCGTCAGTGAATGTTTGACACAGGTGTACACCTGCAGTTATGTTCGGCGGGGAGAGCTTGACCGTTGAAGTAGCAAAAAGGGGGCGTATCGGCTTAAGGCCTGTGGTCAGCAGGAACTATTCGCTCAACAAAGAGAAAGCCTTACGGGACAAACTTAAAAAATGTCTGAATGACCCAGGGCTCCTGATTAAACATTCAAGTGACGGAAGATGTGTTAGCATCTGCTTCAATAATACCATTCAATATGAATACTTTCGATCTTGCCTGCTGAAATGCTACCAAACCGATAATATTGAACACAGGACAGACAGACAGGGTGCGCACGTAGAGGCGAAAATATCGTCGCCATCATACACGATTCACTTGTACCACACCAAAAACAAACCGCTGGTCCAAGGTGATGCACATGCTTTGGAGACATGGATGGGGAAGGAGTTTATTGAGCTTCAGATGACAGCTCAGTCCTTGATACACAAGGAGTTTCTAAATTCACCCCAGAATCTCAACGTACCTACCTTAACTCAAACCATCACTCCTGCTCAGCCAACATCTCTAACGATAACCAGTACATCAGCCGTCAGTCCTCAGATAGTAGAGGCCATTACATATACTAGTCAGAACATGGGCTCAGTAGCTACAGGACGACCAGTTCTGCTAGCTATTGAGTACCCATTGGAATGTTTGCAAGACATGGAACAGCGTCAAGATTCTGAACCCACGGAACCGTTAAATTCACCCACAGACCTAGCGGATACACCGTCTAACAGGCATCCCACATGCGACTGCCAGCATCGCACTCAAGTGTTAGCCACTAGCTTAACAACACTTATTGATACTCTCTCCAGTCATCTACATAAGGACTACGACACACTCAGGGCAGAAATCCAGCTTTTGAGAGAGGAAAACAAAACATTAAAAATTATTATTGAAAGTAAGCAGCGTGTGCCAGGAGTTGACATGGTGACACAAACTGAAGTTCCCCAAACATTGCAAACTTCCTCCAGTCAGCAACAGGAAGCCAAACAACCACCGAATCAACAGGAGCAGGTTGAACAAGCTCAACAGCGCGCCTATCCAATTGACGTGAAGATAACTAATCGATTTGATGCGCTGCTGGAGCAGTCAGTCGACAGTAGACCACCGGCTAAAACACCACTATTATGCACTCCACGCCTACAAGAGGCGCATAAAGATGTACAAACTGAACGACAACAATGGCAGACGCAGCGGGCAAGGCGCTCTGGCTACCAGTTTACACAAGTAATACGGCCAGACTCCACTCACCTTATTATTGGCGACTGACTGCTAAAAGGTCTGTATAGCGATCTAATGTCTACATCTGACAAGGACTTAGTTTCTGTTGTTCCATTGCCCGGTGCAAGGGTGGACAGGCTTGCAGACAAAATAAAGAGACTGGACACTAACATCAACATCAAGAAAGTGACAGTTCACATAGGGATAAATGACACAATGAACAATATCTACATCACCGACTTCCAGCTGCGGGTGCTGCTGGATTCATTGTGTCGTACATATCCTTCATCTACTAAAGTTTTCTCTTCTATTTTGACCCCGATGTTTGGCCATCAGCGTAGACTGGCTGACAGAAACAATAAGGTGCTAGAGATCTTTTGTAAACAAAATAATTTAACTTTTATCAACCACACACCATTTTTTACGGCACAGTCTGGCGCCCCGAAGAAACTCCTATATAAGGATCAGATCCACACTTCTACACTAGGGACGAGCATCCTGGCCAAGAATTTAAAATATCCAGCCAGGACACAGCTCGTACCCAACACAGAAGTGCCAATAGCACCTGTTTCTGCTTCACCTGATTTTCAGGCCAAACGATACAAACCAAACACTATGAATACTAGCGCCCCATTACAGGACGCTCGATCCTCCAGCACCCCTGGAGTACCCAAGCCATCACGTGGAAATCAACCACACCCTCACACACCCACCTTTGTACAGGAGAGTAGCAACTATGATTATTCCTTTCCTCCACTTCCAAGTAGGGAAAAGTCCGTCAATAGGACTGATGGGCTCGGGACTGCGGCTAGAAACAACAGCGTACCCGACCGACAATATCCTTTGAATTGGAACCGAGATTTGTACCATCTCATCATGCGCTTCGATCCTGAAATTCTGCGACATGCATTTATGATGTCAGCACATTGCAGACCAGCCAGATACAGCGCTTGCTAAAAACAAAAACAAAAAACAAAAAACAAAAAAAAACAGCTTACCCTATATCAGTCGGACAAGTTTTCTCAAGCGCTTATTTTATTATTACTGTGTTGCCCACTCGATCAGCAGTGGGTTACATAGCCATACTTATAAACAGTCATTTGTCTATCAAACTACACTTATTTTGTATATTTTTGAGCTAGTTATAATACTGCTTAAATCTGCTAAACTGTAAGTTAGGTGGTGGTGTATATGAGTTAAAACATTGTAATTCATTTTTTCTGCACTATCTCCATTTAACTGTTTTACTTATTTTTTTTTCTCGTTCAATACTATATTATTGTTGTAAATTTGTTTTTACTCTTGTATTGCCTGAATAATATTTTGTGTGTAACTTGGTATTTGCTGGTGCTGGCATAGCTTATTTTCTATTGCCACACTGCAGTTTATAATGTCTGACACACATGAGCACTGGCTTAGTAAAACTGGGCTTAGAATAGGTCATCTGAATATTTGCCATCTTCTGGGAAAACTGCCCGAACTGTCCCTTATTCTTAGTCAAAATTTTCAGATGTTCGGTCTTAGTGAGAGTAGATTAAATGACAACATAACAGATGATGATATACATGTTAATGGTTTTAGTGTTATTAGAAGAGACCCACATAAGAAACAAGAAACGGGTATAGCGGTCTACGTCAGTAATTCCCTTAATGTCCAACGTAGACTAGACTTAGAGACTAGCGATGTAGAATGCATATTTTTAGAAGTTAAGCTACAAAACCACAAACCCATCGTAGTTGGTTATCTCTACCGCAATCCTAGCGCTGATAATATATGGTATGACAACTTTACCAATATGATGGATATGGTGTTCAACAATGCAGGGGAAATTATACTTCTTGGGGACTTCAATATAAATGCCCTAAAATCCAACAAGACGTGGGAAGACATAATTACCTCATTTAATCTCAAACAACTAGTCAAACAAGCTACTAGAATAACCAAATCGTCGTCAACCCTTATAGACCATATTTATGCAACATGTACTGACCATATTATAGAATGCAAGGTACCCACTACAGCACTGAGTGACCATTACCCCGTAATTTGTGTGTGGAATAAAAAAGGCGTAAAAACTGTTAAACAAAAGCATGTAAGTATTAAATTTAGAAGCTATAAAAATTTTAATCAAGATGCATTCCAACTAGACTTGTTCAATTCACCTCTTGACCACGTTTATCAGCTCTCGGATTCAGATGACGCTCTTGAATATTGGCTGAAAACCTTCTCTAGTGTATTTGATAAGCATGTGCCAGTTAAGGAGGTCCGTGTAAAACATCAAACTAAATCCCCTTGGATCACGCAGGAGGTAGTTGCAATCATGAGAGAGCGAGATAGGGCGCATAAAAAGAAGGATATAATCACATACCGGAATCTGCGAAACAAAGTCCAGTATACCATTCGTAAGGAAAAAAAAAAAAAGAACTTTTTTAAACAGCTAATAGTAGATAAAAGAAACAGCAAAGACATATGGAAGGCAATCAATACATTGACAAACAAAGGTACTTCCACGCGTTTGCTGACATCTAATATAACATCGAATGATTTCAGTAATTTCTTTGAAGCCAATATAGAAAATGTAAAAGCCACAATGCCAAACTGTCCATGTGATTTATCACTGCTATCAGCATTTTGTGAAAATAAATGCCCTGAAGACATTCCTTCTGACATTCCTCTCATGACAGTTGCGGAAGTTTTTATACATTTCAACAGTCTTAGAAACAGTAACACGTCCGGTTTAGACGGAATCAGCAATAGGATCCTTCGTAGTGCTGCCCCAGTTATTTGTGAGTCGATGACCTTTATTTACAACCAATGTCTTGTCAAAGGCTACTTCCCATCTGCATTTAAGATTGCCAAAGTGTATCCACATCTAAAATCTGGTTCATTAGATAGTAGTATTCCAGGTAACTATAAACCAATCTCCCTGTTATCATCACTATCGAAACCACTAGAGAAACATATTC